AAGGACAATGGATTGTTTTGTGACGTCCGTGGAAGGGTTAGCTGGCAGGATATAACAATTAACAACTAATAATTTTTGTTTGTTGGTAAATTGGAGTTTTGCATAAATAATACTGTCTAATATGAAGTCATGAGTGAAAATATGCTTAGCGATGAAGGAGCTGAAAGAGAGGTTAATACCTGTTCCAATTGATCAGGAGTTGTGGTTGTTGCTAAAAAAGGTTGTAAATGTTGAAAAGTCGTGATTAAAAATGGATGATATCCCTTTGAAATTAGTTTTTATAGGCCTATGATGTCAAATTGATTTACTGAATATAGGGAAAAAAGATAATTTTGTTTTGTTTAGTTGTTTAAGAAACGAACATTATAGGTGGTGATTCTAAGGTTTGGTATTAATGGAGTGTGAGAACTAAAAGTATTAGTATTGTACATTGTAGGGACAGTAATCATAATACAATTATAAATTAATTTGGGAAGCTGCCAATGCAGCGTTCAATTGCTTTGTCAAAGTCCTCAGTTAAAGGTTCAAAAATTTGTGTATCATGTTTGTTGAAAATGTTTTTGTTAAGGAGTGTAGATTAGAGGTCATGGCAGAATTTAAGTAACTTATTGAGTATAGGAGTGAATTGTGAGATTCTTTGTTATTATTTTTAACAGATAAGGACTAATTGCTCATTAGATTGTTTTTGTTAATAGGCTATGCAAAGATTAGTATTGATGTGTAGATATTTCTTATCCACTTCAGAGACAGTATCAGGTAGGTTATTATTAAAATCATCCGCCTTAACAGGAGTAATGACTTTAATGTAAAGAGCATTTTCAACTGTAGCAAGATGTTGTTGTGAAAATTTAAATTTGACACAAAGGTTAGAGAGAGCATTGAAAATTGACATAAGTTGAGAGATAACAAACTGTTTGAAGTCTGGGTCATGAATTGAACCGCCTTTTGCTGTACCATTATCTAATTTTGGTGTAGGAAGGACTTCAATTTTTATGAATTTATCAAATAGTTCGTCTGCCCATCGTAAATTTTTTTTCCCATATGAGGGGTTATAGGAAGAAGAGACGTAAGGTTTGGCTTTTAGTGGTGGAGGAGGGGGAGGTCTCCTTTTTGGTTCTTCTTATGGATTGATAATTTGTTGAGGGGTTTTAGCAACATGAGTGAATGTGATATTTTCGCGAACAGCGCCTCGTATAAGACTACATTTTGGTGCTGTATAGTTATTAAATTAGGCTAATTAGAACCGCTGGTAAAGATTTTGTGTATTTCAGTCCTTGAAGGATTGTCAACGTCTAAGACAGGTAGATGCATTATGATGTGTAAAAGAACAAATTGCACAAAGTTTGGCTTTTGGGTCAGTCTATTCTAATTTTTTGTTGTTGAGAGTTAAATTTTTTATTCCTAGAGCATCCAGGGTGTTTTCTTTGTTAGAAAAGTAAAAATAAGCGTGTTGTAAATAATTATAATTTGAACGGGCTCTAGGGATGATCCATACAGTAGCAGAGACCATATTTCCAATATCTTGGAGGTCACGTGGTGTAACATTTTGAGAGAGATTTATTAGTTTTGCTGAGAATGCAGAGTGAGCTTGAATTTCAGTCCTAGATAGGCTGCAAGGATAAAATCAAATAATATCATTAAGGAGGTAAATCCCGTCTCCTTTTTTTAATTCTTCAAAATTGGCTTTTTCATCAAAAGTAATTGTGGCTCGTTGTCAAAGGTTTTTTGTTTCTATGGCAAAATGGACGATATTACTAAATTTGAAGAATAATTTTTGTAGTTTAGTTTCTGTGGCATCTAAAGGGATTTCTGTTACTGTAATCGACCGATCAGGTATGTAAGATGCAGATTTTTTTATGTTAAGGGGTTAGAACGTGGTATCAACTATATCAGGAGATCTGTATTTATAAAATTCATCACGTTTAATTTTGTCTGAAAAGGCAACTTTAATAATAGCCTGATTGTGTTCAGTAGGATGTTTTCCTTTTGTAGTAATGATGAATGAGTTATATTTATTATAGCACAAATCAGTGATCTTTGAGATCTTCAATTGGAGGTTTAGGCCAAGGAGTTTATCCATTTGGATGTAGGTGAAAAATTTAGTGACTTGCGATGAGGGAGCGTCAAAGCTAATGGTTGAAATATCTAAGAGATTTTTTGATGTGTCAAAAGACTCGTCAACATTGACTGTTAGTATGAGCGCAGTAGTTTCAGAAGTAGAAGTTGAGGCAATAATTTCTGAACTTTCTCTTTGTCAAGGTTGTTGGACAAACTTTCTTTGACTAGGTCGACTTCCATGGTGGTGGTCTCTTCTGGAAGGACAGTTACAAGAGGTTCCTTTACATAAGTAAGAGAGAGGTCATTGTCTGAAGTTTGCAGTGTATTCTGTTTCTTTTTTGGTATTTTGTCTGATATTGGCGATGCTGAGCGGCTGCGGTTGGTATTCTTTCTTTCTGTTTTTTTGGGCATTTTTGCAAAAAGGGAGAAAGAGTTTCAAAAAGTTTATAAATTAATAAAATAATAATATGTAATATATATAATAAATATAAATAAATAAAATATTAAATATATTAAAAAAGTTAAAATTATTAATAATATTAATTTTTTGTTGATTTATGATGCAATAGGATCAGTGTTATTAGTAATTAAAATAATTAGAATTATAAATAATTCTAATTTTATATTAAATTTTTTTATATAATAAAAATAATTACTTAAAAAGTTGCTAATATTATTATTAAAACTATTTAATTTTATATATTTTTTTAAAATTATAAAATTTAAATCTTTTACTAATATATAAATTAAATTCTAAAATTTTATAAAAAAATATATATAACATATCAATAAAATAAAAAGTAACTTTAAGCATTATTAAAAAGTATAATAATAATTTTTTATTTAACAAATAATTTTAGAATAGTTAAATCTTAGTATGTTATTTTATAATATAGTTAATTTTAATTTTTAGAATTAAAAAAATATTATTAACTCTTTTTATTCCCATAATAATAAAGTTATAAATCATAAATTTTATTAAATATTTAATAATATTTACTTTAATACTTATATAATAATAATATTAAATATGATAAAATAATATATTTATTAATTAAAAATTATAATAATTAATATAATATCAAATAAATTCAGAAAAATGATTTACATAAATTTAAATTTTAATTTACAATTATAAATTTATAATTTAATTTAAAAAAAATTACTTGTAAAATTAAAATTACTTTAAATAAACTTTTAAAAATTTTAATATCAAATACTATAAATTTTTTTTTAAAACTAATTGAGATTTTTAAAGAAAAATAAAAAATTATAATAATTATATTTACATTTAAATAAAAAAAATAAAATTTAAATTTTTTATAAATTTTTTTATAATTTATAATTTAATTTAATATAAAATTTAAAATTCTAATTTTTTATTTTTTTATTTCTTATAAAAATATTTTTAATAATGATTATTGTATTAAAATTATTTAGTTATAATTTGTAAATAATATATTTAACTTAAAATCTTATAATTTTATATGCATTTATTTAAAAAAATTTATTATAAATAAAGAAAATATAAAAGGTTTAATAACTAATTTATAATTAAATAAAGATATTATTGAGAATTTTAATATTTACTAATAATGTTAAATATTTTTAATTAGATAAAATAGATAATAATAGCAATATTTGTATTATTAATAATAAGAAATACAAAGTTAAAATTAAAATTTATAAAAGAGGTAAAATTTTTAACAATATTATTTTACTGATTTAAAATTAAAAAATATAAGTATTAAATACTAATATTTATTACAATCTATATAAATATATTTTTATATTTAAATAAATTTAATCAATTATATTATTTTTAAATAACTTTATTAATTAATTATAATAATAAAATTAAAAAGAAAATATTAGTTTAAGATTTATATAATAATATAAAAAAAATCTTTTATTTAATAAAGAATTATTAATAATTCATTTTTTCAAAGTTTTAGAAAGTAATACAATAAATTGAAATTTTATTTATAATAAAATATTTGAATTAAAGAATTTATCTATTAAAATAGTAGTTATTTTAAAAAGTATTTTTTAATAATATTATTATAATTTATAATATAATATTTATTTATTTTATAATTTTTATTTGATTCTTTTAATCTGAATTTCTTATAATTTTAATTTTTTTTAAATATATGAGGGTAAAGGGAAAAATCCACTTTTTAGTCATGAATTAGAACTTTTTTTATATTAATATGATTCTAAATTAAAATTTGTTAACCTGTTCATAATCTTATAATATAATCTATTAATAGATGTAAAAGTATTTATTATATTTGAAAAATAAAATGTAATATTTTGTTAGTTTATTTTAATGTGTATATATAAATACAAAATTAGGATATTTATTTTTGCTTTATAGATTTATTTTTAAATTACTTTTTTATAGAAATGATAACTTCTTATTACTGTATATTCGAATGTAATGATAGGGTTAGAATTTTTTAATTTAGGGTTGTTTATAAGTTACATGGATGTTGGTTATGTTATATATGTAACAATTAAGCTGCATGCCCAACTTTTTTTGATGGGGAATTCTAGACCCGTATTAAATATTTGTTTGAATCGTTTAATGGGATGACATGATCATGATGATGTAAGCTAATCGAAATGACAATTTACATTCAAGTAATAGCATGAAGAAATTAACCAAATGCTAAAACAAGCTCGTTAAATTATTAATATTTTAAAAATTTTCTATACTTGCATAGCAGGAAGGAATAAAATTTCTTTGTGCTAATGTGGAGTGTATTTGAGGATGTTTAATTGTTCGAAAGAATATGATTGGTTGATGTTTAATTAATATGTCATAGGACAAAAATGTCAAGGGTATATTTTAATTTATTTGCAGTGTTTTCGAAAGTCTTTTTTTTTTTTTCCTTCTGAAACTTTAGTGTTTGTTAAGAAATGTCGTTTGTGAACATTTATAATTCGAGTTGTTGAATACGGCTTCGAAGCTCGTTTAAATCATTTTCCAACTTGGAAATATATTCATTTGCTTCACTTAAGCTCAATTCGTGTTGTTGCACCTGTTTGGAGCGAGATGATGAATCGAGTGATTTATTTGCTAAAGTAATTTCAGAAAGAGAATTCGATTGACTTGTATTATTATTATGAAACCTTTCACGATTTTCATTCCGAACGTTAAATGATAAAGCAGGGGTTGTAAAAGTCACATGCCGCCCAACTTCAAGGTCATCATTTCGCGAACGAACCGGAAAGTCGGGACATTGATCATCGATAACCTTTTGTTTCCACCAATAAACTGGATATTTATTTTGAATATTGAGTAATATTAACGATATTACAAACATTAGCGTCACTCCAAGCAATACCGGAACAATCGCAAATAAATAACCGAGAGAGGTGATTTTTGGATCGTCTAATGCTAACATTAATGCTGTTGCGCCAGCCGGTGGATGAATTGTATTGGTCAGCTGCATGACTAACATTGACAGAGAGACCGATAACGCGCATGTTAACCATTTGTAACCTATGGGATTTGCAGTGATTTGTTTCATCATTATATTCACGGTGATTCCAATTAACGAGGACGTTATATGTCCTAAATCTAAAAAAAGAAGGTTACGCGCATTAATTTCAAAAGGTATGGACGATTTAAAAATTGGAGGAATTAGAAAGGAATTGATATTTGATCAAACTCACATAGATTCCTTGGTTGAGCCAAGGGTGAATCGCAAGTACCATAAATCAATATGGCGGTAGCTCCCATACTACTGATACTAACAGGTATTTCTCTTTCACGAAAGAATTCAATATTCCAAGTGAACAAACCTAAAGTTCCAATGCCAATAAACGAAGTGATAAATGACCATATGACGATTCTGACGTGAGATGGTTTTGGTTGTGGGTCTATATTAGAATATTTTGAACCCAAATATCTACGAAAATAATATTTTATCGATCTTGATAAATTATTTTGTACGTTATTATGATATGCACAAGTAGAACTCATTGGATGTTGTGAAAAAGGAGTGAAAAAAAAAAACGGACCTTTATAAAAGTTATGGTTAATTTATATCCCTCCCAAAAAATAAAATAGTTTATTTCTAGTAATTTCCTCTTATCAACCTTATTTAGCCATGGTTTGTATTTATGGCGGAGAGCTACTCACGGGATTTTAAGAAGTCCTTTTTAGTAATTGGTCGATAAAAATATTTTTAACCATAAATATTATTATAATTAAATTTGTTATCAGCGCGAAATCTACGTCAAACACGAATCCAGGTCTCGTGAATTATTAGCGGAGTAGTTTCATTACGTTTCATCATGAGGTATATAAGTAAATTAAAAAAACAAAATCATTTCATCAATCATTCAACTCTTTCTTAAAATTTCAAAAAATTAAAACATTTACTCCAACTTTAAGAAAAAAAAAAATTTGGATATGTTCGCACAACAAAGATTTACACAAAGATTCGTGAGAAAATTTTCTACAAATAACGGAATGTATAATGGTAATATTATGTCGTAAAATTTTCTTTTCACCAGAAATGCTCACTTTATTAATAAATAATAAATAATGTTACCACAAAAATTAGGAAAAATACCTCAAAATATTATTCTACCAGTAATTCCAACCTTCATTTCTATTTCCATCGGTGCCGTTCTTGGCATCAATCACGTGATAAAATCAGAAATTATCGAAAAAGTTGAAATCAGGGTCGATCAGATTTCTGAGGTGAAAGATCTTAATGGAATATCCCCATAAGTGTTACTAATAATGCTAAAACGTCTTATTCAACTTTAGAGATTGGATAAACTTCAAGAAACCGTGGAATTAATTAAAGCCGATTTAAAAGTTATTAAAGGAATTTTAATGCAAAAAAAATGATCAAGCCGGACCAACCGAACGAACTGCAAAAAGAGGATAAATCGGAAATTCTGATGCTTTTTCTTTGTTAAGAAAACTACTTTGCATAATTATTTCGTAAAGATAAAAACAAAAAATTTTTATTGTCAACCATAATGCTATAAGTTTTAACTTTTATTAAAAAAAAATAAGTTTGATGGTTAAAGTTGATTTCTATTCTATGTAGATTTATTATAGAGTGACTGCATATAAGTAAACCATCAGAAAATTCATTCCATCTTTTAGTTAATGCAATGTCTTAATATTATTATCCCCCAAAATTAACCAAATTTAGATCATAATTTTATTGATAAATAAATAATTACAAAAATTTCTACTCCTTCTTTCTACCTTTAGCGATCAAATATTTAAAAGTACATTCCTTTTGATCTTTTTCAATAAACTGATTAAAAGTAAATGAAAGCTCAACTTTAACATCATCTAAAACTCCAGTATTCAGGAAAACTTCTTCGATTTCATTATGATAAAAACCACCTTTATGAGCCACAGTGTGTTCAACGTGTTTATGTTTATCACCAAGCCTATTAAAATGATCAATAGTTTCAGGATCTTTGGTTAAATCAAATACGAACAATTTTCCAGATGGTTTCAAATAAGAAGCCAAAATACGTGTAATGGCAGCGGTATCACTAATGTGGTGATAAGCGGAAGCGCACTTTTTTTTTATTATTTATTTATTTATTTTTTTGGTGACAAAAAGAAATAGTACCGCGAGTTAGATAGTTATGATAGTAGTAGCAATTAAATATATATATCAACCTGAAAAATCAAAGTACCCACCACAACTAAATCGAATTTTCTCCCATCTAATTGATCACCTTCAGATTCTTTTAGATCCAAACAAATAGCTTTCATTTCACTTGCATCAATACCTTGTTGCCAGACTTTTTTATTATATTCATCAACCATGTTTTGAGACGAGTCGACACCAATGATAGATTTCACATAAGGGGACAACGCTTGAGAAATCAATCCTACATCATTAAAAAAAAAAAAAAAAAAAACTCAAAAAGGGTAAGGTATTTTAATTGATCAATGATTTTAAAATCAAATTATCACACGTACCGGTTCCGCAAGCAAAATCCATAACTTCGGTTTTTTCTGGATCCAATTCACTCCTTAATTCTTTGATGATGGCTTCGCCACATTTTTTTGAAATCGTTAAAGCCAATGGATCTATATCATACTTTTTGGCCTCGGAATTAAAATGAAGTTTATTATGATGACCGAAACTATCATCATTGGATGAAGCAGGGATTTGATCAGATGACGACATATTTTCCTTCTTGGTTTTTTGGGTTTGAAAATCAAACCTTTTTGCCTTGTTTTAAATACAAAAAAAAAAATTTTTGTTTATTAAACCTTGCCTCGATTTGGTTGTTTATTATTTGTATGAAAGGTGTAGATTGTGGCGCGGTAATGCGTCATAGTTTATGTGATTACGTCATAAATGGGCACTCCATATAGCCTGTATAGCACACACTGTATATGGGGGGTATTACACAAACCTGTACATGTATTGTACGGATTTTTTTTATGGTACGTATGATTTTTTCATAACAAATGGTCCATACTTATATGGTTTCTAATACTATATATTTATAAAAAAATCATCTTATACATATATTTCCATATTCCCTCTTATATGGCATAAAATGGCACCGGAACATATTCCCGACCAGCCGCGAACACGTAAAGAATATCGTTGCGTCACGATTACGACCGCAGTTCGTTCTTTCATGCGTGTACGATGATGATTCTCATTGCATTCGGACAAAACATAATCTGAAACACCATACGTTTCATGTACGCACATGCCATACATAATCGTGTTATCTTTTTACCCAAACCGTCAATTTCGGTTAATTATGAACGTGAAACTTTTTGCTGCGCATCAAAGGAATTCCCTTCAACCATTATGAGAACGTTTCTAGTAAATTTTTTCCTTCTCACATCTTTTTAGCATGACCTTTTATATGGAAGTTCTTTGTCAAAGGGACCAACAATTCCCACATTAAATCTCATTCTTTCCTTGATCTTTTTTTTTTTTTTAATTTAACCTAAAAAATTTTTTCTCAAATCCCTCCGATTAACCTAAAAAAAACCTAGTCATAACGTATAACCAAACTTTAACTTTATAAGTTAAAATTGGTTTCATTACGATAATGGATTTGCATATTATTTGATTAAGGCTGAAATACGGTACACTTTGTAATTCATCAACTAATTAATTAACTAATAATAATTTATATATAAAAATGAATGAGCGACAATAATGAAATCTTGTACAATATTAATCAACAATAGCACAGCAATCAATCACACAGCTCTTATTAAATGTCCCCCCAAAAGGAACGCTTTTTTTTATACTCAAAGATCGAAGATGATTTTCAAATATCGGCAATGTAATTAACATTGGACGAACTTGTACGAATAATCAATCGACAAGAATTCATTTGAAATGCGTATCTACGAAAAGGGTCCTACCAATAAAATGATCATGACGTTGTGACATGAAAAGTTGTGAACGCATCCTAAAAATCAACCCATGTGATGAAACCATCGTGTGCATGTTTGTTTTGCCCTTGTTCTCGATAAAATAAAATAGATTATTTTTATACGCATTGAAAAATTTAGATGAGAAAGAACCCTTTTCCTTCCAACATGAGATTTACGTTGGAAAAAAAATTTTTTTTTGATTGTGATCGTATGTGGATAAAATCAATCACATAAATCATTTTACGCCCAAACTTTTTTTTTAAAGCTTTGTAATTCATGTGAATGAATTGATTAAAGCTGGGTGTGAGAGCAAATTATAATCGCATCTAACATGTAATCAATGACCTGATTTAGACTTTACACTTTCACTCAGTCCGCCGTCACATTGCATTGCATTAATATAAATTAATTTTTTTTTTTTTTATGAAACTTCCTGAATAATTGAACAATTAAAAAAAAAAATATCAACACAAGATAAATTTTCCCTTTTTATTATTGAGACCACAATTGGTCCCCATAATAACAAGGTCCCAAATATCATTCCGTTTAGCAAAGGTCCCCTTTCGGATGAAAAGTCCACCTGTCACGCTTTTACGATTCTAATTAAATCCTAATTAAAACTTGTTTGTCGTATGACATGTATTAGGAAAGTTCTACCAAATATTTTTGGTGCTCGCTTTAAATATCTGCCTTTGTCTCCTTAATTTTCGTCCAATGGCTTACCGGGATTGCATTCCCTTTTTTGGTTTTTGAACATATAATAGCTGTTAAAGTTTACGGTTTTTGAAAGTTAAACTCCCGCCTTTTTACTCAAAAAATAACTTTTTTTTTTTTTTTTTTTTTTTTTTTTTTGTTTTGCTCGGTCAAATAACAAGAAAGATAGAAAGAAGAAAAAAAAAATTTGGTTTTTTTTTCCCATAATAATTACAGCGGAGTTTTTTTTATATCATTAATTACTCATTAGATTACATACTTAGAGAATACATACATTTATGTATATATTGTATCATTATCATATTTATAAAAGGTTATCATAATAAGGTTTAACTTTAATCTTATCTTTCCTGCATTCAAAGAGAAAAATTACTTTCATATCAACTAATGTTAATGTGTTCAAGAAGAGCGAGTTCATATAACAAAATTTAAATACCGTTTTTTAAAAAATATTTATCATTTCAGCCGAGAATACCGAGAAATATTCCTAAATATTAAATTAAAAAAAAAAGAAAAGAAAATATGGAATCAAGCAAAAATATAATTGGACAGGATGCCCAAGCCAAAAAATTATCCCGTTCAAAGTCCACCTCAAATAAAGTTAAAAATAACAAACCGTCTAGTATAGTGACCTCAAATTTATCAAATATCAGTAAATCCAAGGTTGATAAACCAAAATCTCCCATCTTATCAAAGGATGTCTCTTCTTCAAGAAACGTTGAAAGAAAAAAGTCCATCAGTGGCGCCCCTTCTACGATCAGCCCATTGAATAGGAATAAAAGTGTTCAATCAATTTCGACGACGATGACGAGAAAACAAAAGGTTGGAACGAGTTCTTCAAACGTGTCTGCCTCCGATGAATCCGGTCCCAATAATCTGTTGGATAGAAGGCCTTCCGCTCCTCCAAAATTAAATTTGGCATTTAAAAATCATCGTTCTGTTGCCGCTTCCCAACAAACTTCCCCAAATGATTCTTCGAGCAAGAATTCTTTGGGTAAGGTTTCTCCGAGCGTAGCTATTTCTCCTCCACTTATGTCCCCCAAAATAAGGGAATTACGAAAATCCGAACCCTTTCAAGCAAAACCTTCCGGCAAAGAAACTTCCTATGACGATTCTTCAACCGTTTCGTCATCAAGGGTCAATAAGAATAATAAGAATAAACTTTCCCCATTTACCTCAAAGTCACGTCGTGTTCCTGCAAAAAATCTTGCCATAAAGAAACCTTCCGTCTTATCTTCTTTGCCTAAAGCCGAATTAAATAAAGAATTGTTGGCTAGGTTGGAACATCAAAATTCTCAACTTCCTCCTCAGGTAAATAAATACTTTTTTTTAAAAAAAATTATTTTTAATATATATTAATATATTTATGATCTTTTTTTTACTTTAGGATTCGACTCAATTCTTATTGGCACGGCTTGAAAGGCAAAATGACATGTTGGATAACGATCCAAAATCGGTATGCATCGAATCCAACGTACTTAAGGCCAACTTGGAGGTCGTGCAATCATTAATTGATGACATCACAAGTCCATTAGCTGATGCTTCGGGTTCCGAAGATCCTTCCTCTTCTCCTTCGACCACCAAGAAACATCGCGATTCGAACGACGAAGAAACGAAGAAGATCGATTGGGATTTTTGGACGGCGTTGATTCAAGATTACGCTGCCGTTGCTACAAAATTGCCTCACCTGTTGTCTGCAAAGTTACAACAAGGCTTACCCATGAAATTAAGAGGATTGATTTGGCAATCAATGAGTCAGGCTTCTTCGACTTACTTGGAAACCATGTATAGTCAATTGTTATCAGAATCGTCGCCTTATGATAGAATTATTCAACGTGATCTTGCTAGAACTTTTCCCACCGTGGAAATGTTTAAAGAGGAGAATGGCCGTGGTCAAACCATGCTTTGGAATGTCTTGAAAGCTTATAGCTTATATGATCCTTTAGTTGGTTACTGTCAAGGCCTTGGTTTCTTGGTCGGACCTTTATTAATGAATGTAAGTTTTCTTTACGTGTCTTTATTTTATAATAATATAAAAAAAAAAAATATATATGAAATAATAAGTAATGAGGGAAAACGATTATTTTTTAACTTCTTATTTTCCTTCCCTATAGATGAGCGAAGCTCAAGCCTTCTGCGTATTTGTTCGGTAAGTTGAAAAATGTTCGTGATTCTTTTTTTTTTTTTTTTTAATGCGTTCCAAACTCACGTAATGATGTATATGTATAATGTAGGTTGATGGAAACATATGATATGCGTACCATGTTTACGTTAAGTATGGAAGGTCTTCAACTAAGACTTTATCAGTTCTCTTGTCTTCTCTTACAAATCATTCCAAGCTTGCACTCTCATTTCCGTCTTCATGGGATTCACGAAGCTATGTTCGCATCACAATGGTTCCTTTCCTTGTTCGCTTATACATACCCTCTTCCTTTGGTATTCAGGATATATGATGTGGTGTTTGCTGAAGGTGCACCTGAAACCATCATGCGAGTCGCCATAGCATTATTGAAAAAGAATGAGGAAAAATTATTAGAATTGGGAGAATTCGAAGAATTATTGGATTTCTTGACTTCGAGATTATATGATACCTATAATAATGAGCCGACTGGTTTAATTCAAGATGCCATGGAATTGAGTTCCGTCATTACAAAGAGTAAATTGGATCAATTATCGGATAATTATGTAAACGATATAGAAGATCAAAAGAAACGTACGGAAGAATTGGTCTCCGTCAGATTTAATGGTAGATTCGGTCGATCAAAGAAAGATAAAAAGAAGGATGAATCAAAGAGAGAGAAACGATCCGGTGATGGAAAATCGAAGCGGTGGTCATTTAATGCTGCTTCATTACCAAATTCAAGACATTCTATCGCTACGATGCAAAATTTAATTAGGTCGAGTTCCACATCGAGTGACATTTCCACGTCGTCCGATAATGAAACTCCGATCCCAAAGACACCATTAACTCCAAGCTGCTTCTCGAGTAGTGCTAGCATAGGGGTATTACATCAACAAATTGAGGATTTAGTGACGGCTCTATCACACTTGCAGAAAGAACATGCCGATATGACGGATCAACTGGTAAACATCAAAATGGAAAAAATGGATTTGGTGAATGAAGTGGAAGGATTAAATAACCGATTAAGAGGATTGGAAAAGGAAAATAAGAGGACGTCAACGTCCTCGATGGTCTCAGTAGATTCTTCAATGACATTGAGTAACGATGAGGGTTTCGATTCCGGAAGAACCACTAGGATCGCTTCTCCAATCACTCCAAATCCAGATCAAAAGAGCGGATATGATCACGTGAAAAATTTAGTGCATTACATCGGATCCAAGCTCGATCTTTCGGAGAATGAAATATTGAAAATGAGAAGATCATCGGCCCCGGCGATTTCTCTTACAGAATCCCAATTATCATTGATATTGAATAACAACAATGCTACCGATTCCACAAGTGTTGTATCAAAGGATAAAACTTTTGGTTTGACCGGAGAATGGAATGATGAGAGTAAAAAGCAGAACGCTTTGGAATTAGCTCTTACCGAAGAATTGATTCAAGTTAAACGAGAGAAATTTGATTTAATGTTGGAAAATCGAGAATTGGTAAAGAGAAATAGTGAGTTAGAAAATGCTTTAGAAAATTCTCATCAACTTCAAAAATCATCACAAGACAAAAATACCTTTTTAAGTAAGGAAATTGAGAGATTAGATGAGGAAGCCGCACAAGCATTATATGAACAAAATTCAATGAGAGAAGAAATTAAAGCTGTAAAACCTCTTCGAATTGAACACATCCGTGCTAACAGAGAAAACGAAAAACTGAAACAAGAATTAGAAAATGTTGAGACAAGGTTGAGGCAATATGAACCTGAATATGTTGGAAATAATGATTGGGTTATATCGATGGAAGAAATAGACGAAATTATATCGTCCACCACGCCAAAATCTTCGAGAAGAGTTAGTTTCTTAAATTTCTTTGGAGCCACAACGCCAACTGGATCAAATGGAGGTTTTATATTTCCTTCTTGTACAATAGAGAGTTGTACGTCAACAAAAAAATGTGATGATTTAGAAAAAATGTTGAAGCATGTTAAAAAGTTATTGGTTGAAAGCGAAGCTGCAAGAGGTCAGCTTAGCTCTCATATAGACGATTTAAATAGTATGATTAACGGATTTGATAATTTGTATGATGATGATATATTTCAATCCGTTGGAGAAAGTGAAAATTCTTTTCAAAACAAACCTAAATCTGAAAAAAGGTTATCTACGAGTTTAGCTGCTTTCTTTGGAGCTGCTTAAGCATTGCGTCTATTATTTTATTAAAAGCAATTATTTCGGACAAATCGACTTTCGACGAATTTTTTTTTTTTTTTGTACATTCGTAATTCTTATCGTGAACACAAACATTTAAAATTTTTTTTTTGATTCCCTTCCCTTACTTTTATATAATTTTTACGTTATTTTCGTCTAATTTTCTATCGTTTTTATTCATTTTTTTGTACTTTAAATTTTTTTTTTTTTTTATTAACTTGGGATTATATAGTTTATAACCTATATTTATTATAATGTTGATTTTTATAACTTGTATTTATTTGGACGCGTTAGAGTTCGGTTATAGAAATTGTAGTGTGGTTTTTTTTATTAATTTTCGGTTTACAATTTTCCTCCTTCAAAATGATCATAATTCTTAATATTTAGAGGGACATACACAAAAAGTATTACTTTTAATACCAAAGTATTACAAACAATCAGAGAACGGATCCTCAAAACATATTTCTTTTTTCTTTGAGTAATACTGAAATATTTATTATTATATATATTTTATTTTTATATATATATATATATATCATTTTCATTTTTTTTTTTATTTTATTTACCCCTTTTTTACACTTCGCTTTCTTAAAAAAATCACTTTTTAAATCACCCCCACTTTATGTTGATAAGCTTTATATTTATTTTTAAGTTCTCTTTCTTTTCTTTTATTTATTTTATTTATATATATTTATATATAATAATGACTTTTTTCTTCCTTTTTCTCTTGTATTTTATTTTATTTTATTTTATTTTTTTCTTTCTATGTTTATGTGAATAAAGTAATAAATAAATAAAAAAAAAAAAAAAAAATTGTAAATTATTATTCTGAATTCATTTTAAAGATTTATTAATAAAACATTTATTGTTTCATAATGATTAATATACATTAATTTGACTGTTTCTTATTCTATATACATTTATCGTCTTGCACGACAATCATCTGACGATTTCTGAAACTATTTCTAGTTTTGCCCGAGTTTCCATCTACATCTAATCGAATTCAAATTTGTTTATTAAACAAATAATAAATAAATCGTAATAATATATACAAATATTTCATTTGAACTAAAAGATCGTTTAATAAGAAATGGTTAGCGATCATAAATCTATGCGTGTGTATATATATGTATATAACTATTATACATACAACTTCCGGAGTCCATTCCAATCTCACGGGTTTAATCTCTCCAATAAATTTTCTCGCTTTATTCAACAAAAAGTCCGAAAATGTCATGTTCCCACCTTTTTCAACAGTGAAACCAACTTTCTTTAAATACCGATTATTTTCGGCGTATTTCGTGACTACTTTCAAAACTCCATCAGACGTCATCTCTTCATTGAAGAAATCCAATTCGTGTATTTCCACAGTTAATGATTTTAAGAGGGTGTCCAATTCATATTCACTTATCGATGCAAATAAACCTAAATTAATTAAAGAAGTAGGAAAAGTTTTAGCTAATGATTCAAGATTTTGAGATCTCCATCGTCCTTTTCTTGTTTCCGAGAGAACCAATTTTTGTAATGATCTTAATGATGGAATCATTTGCATTATATTTGAAAGGTATGAATCTGATATGAAAATTGATAAACTTCTCAAGTTCACAAATTGTTTTTGAATTATTTTGAGAATCCTTGGGGTGACTTCATCCAGGGTAAGTGATTGTAGGTTATGAAATTTTGCGGATCTAATAAGTGATTCTAAACACATTTTCGTTGTATGATTTGATTTCAAAATGTATAAATTCTTAAGGTTGACAATCGGAAGCCTCTCTCGAAACATTTGTTGAAGATGCTCATTCCCAAATTCATGATAATTATAAAGTACCAATGATTCCAAATTCGTGAAAAATTTTAAAACGGAAAGTAGTGCGTAAATATTAATGATTCCATTCAATTTCAAATATTTCAATGTATCAAACTGACTCGTTATGATTGAATAGGCTTCATATAAAGAAGCTTTCTCCCACGTTTCAAACTCTAAGCTGGTAAGATTTGATTGTGCTCTAATTAATTGAAGAAATGCTTTTAAAATTTTAATGGATTTGATATTTCCAATATAGATATGTTGAATATTATGCGCGAATAAAGTTAAATTCTTCCCGATATTCGTGATAACTTCGAGTTCTTGACAATCCCCGATTGACATATGATTACAATCAAACTTGAATTGGACGAGATTAATCAAACCACGTTTCAATCCATCGAATGATACTTGCAAACATTTAAAGTCTTGACAATGATGATGACTTATGGTTAAATTTCGTAACCCTCTCGAATTACGAAACAACATGTTTCCAAGCATTTCCATAAAAAATTTCACCTTTTCCAAATTATCCTTGCTTAACTGTCGTTTAGGTCGTCGAATTTTAAGCCATAATTTAATAGCAATCATAAAATTTTCCGTATCAAAACTTTGTAAATATTCAGGATAATTGTATAAAGGAGGAATTCGTTGTCGTGGCAATTCAAATCCATGATTAATAAGATGAATTTCTTCATAAGAGTTAAAACACGAAATATATGTTTTGATAACTAAGCCGGAATTTTCTTCGTTAACATCAAAAGGATTGCTCCAAAGGGTGGGTACAACAATATTACACCAAGTACGATTTACAAAAAGTAAATTGTAAAGTGTTTTTTTATTATCCTTGGCCTGCTCAATAATCTCTTTAATACACACCGGAGGCATCTCTGGCATGGCTTTATTATTTAGAGCCGACATGTTTATTTATAATAAATGCGTCTTTGACAAAAAAAAATATATGTTCGTGAAAAAAGAGAGAGCGAGCGAGTGAGCGAAGAAAAAAAGGGGGAGGCTCAGAGAAAGATAATTGAAAAAAAAAATTGAGATCTTTTATGCGCTAAAAAAATTCTTGTACAAAATTTTTTGGTAACGTGACTTGATCTTGTAATAGATGATGCACCTCCCAACCCAAAATTACCTAATTTGAATACCTTAAAAAAAATTTTGAAGTTTTTTTTTGACCGCGGATTTCTCGAATGATATTCAAAATCAATTCAAAGTGCGAACTGCGATTTTCTTCTCTGATAAAAGTTTCAATTACAAATTTGGGCCGTGATCTATTCGGATGTTGTCATAAATTTTTCTTATTCGTAATAGAAATGATCGGCAAAATAAATCGATACAATTATTGTATCACATAAATTCATTAATATTATGTTTTAAAGTTAAAAAAGCATTAAGACACATATTTAAATCAAATATATATATATATATAAGAAATAAAGTTATTAAAAGATTATAATAATGAACTTTATATTTCATAAATTACATCAAATATATAATTTATATATAAGGAGTATAAATATTTTAAATGAATACTATAATTATATATGAATATATATTAAAAAAAATATTATTAAAATATGCTATTAAATTTGAATTAAAAAAAAATGATTGTAAAGTTTATTATATCTTAAACTTTTATTAATCTATTTCAACTTTTAAAAATACTTTTTTTTCTTGTTTTTATTATAATCTTTGCATTTCTTTTGATCAATTTAAGAAATAAATATCAACATATTTTTTACTCCAAAACAACTATGTAACATATAGGAACCAGTCTAGCAAAATCTAAGGTTCAGTTAAAATTTTGATTTTAAAATTTTATTATAATTACATATTTATTAATTTAATTTTACAAAAATAAAAAAAAAATTTATATATAATATATTAAAAAAATATAATATTTTATAATTTATAATTGTTATATTTTTTTATTATTATATTTAATAAATAAAATAAACTTGCTAAGAATACCTAATGCTTTTAATAAATTTCTTACAAAATTTTATCCTAATTTATAAAAACTAATTTTAAAAATCTTTAAAAATAACAGAATAAATTGTAGTTTACTAAATTAACTAATAATCTTAAATTGCAATTTTCTCAAAATCACATAATTTACTGAATTCCAACTTTTATTGAACTGGTTATTATATATAAAAAAAATGCTTTATAATATGTTTCACTTTTTGTAATTTTATAAAAAATTATGATTTATTTTTCTAATAAAAAAGAGCTAAATTTTATATTTATTTGAAAAAAATTTTTCTTTTTACTATATAATAAATAAGAAAAATATTTTTTAATCAACTATTACAAAAATTAAGTAATATAAGATAAAACTAATAATAATAAAGACCAGTTTAAATCAGAATATTATGATTTTAACTAATCAATTTGAATAAAAGTTTTAAGATTTATTATAACAAATAAATGCAATAATGTATTGTAATCTAAAAAATATTAAAAATTAAAGTTAGTGAATATATAATAAAGAAAACCTTACATAAAAAAAAATAAATACAAAAATTAAATATAAAAAACTATATTTTCAAAAATATATAAAATTATAAGATTAAACTTTTTCAAAAAAAAAATACAAATTATAGAAAATTAAGATTAAAGTAAAATAGTTTAGTTAAATAAGTCAAAATTTATGATTTATAAATCAGATAATAAGATGTATTATTAAAAAATTATTAAATAATTATATATTATTTAGATTATTTTAATATTAAATAAAAATTAATCATAAAATCTTAATAATTCTGATTAAATTATTTATATAATTTATATTAATTAAAATCAAAAAATTGAACATTGAAACTGGTAAAAATTGATAAACCTGTCAAATATGACATATATATCAAATATGCCAAATTTACCAAATCTGTCAAATAGGATACACATACTATTTATTATATTTTTATTATTTATATCATTATTATCATTTATAATATATTTAATATAATTAATATATCTGTTAGCTCTGTTATTATTGTCAATAGTATCATAAATATCATAGATTTTCTTTAATTGTAATTTTCCTATATAAAGGGTATGAAAATGCTTTAGAAAAAAGACAGATTTTAAGAAGTTCTTAACATTGTATTCAATATACATTTAGAGATTAAAACCAGTTATTGATATCAGATTTATAACCAGTTTTAATCAGTTC